GAACACGAAAAACACATGGCCTCGCAATTTTTGCATTTTGTCGATACTAAGTGCAAGTGGTACATCTACGAATATAAAATAGGAACGTCCAAAAAATACTGCTCAAATAGTTTTCATTCTCAGCAGGAAGAGCCTGAATAGCGATTGGAAAACACATCCTTCAGCGAGTATCATTTGACTACGCAATGATTGACGAATTATGCGATTATGATGAACTTTGTTGTGCTCATCTTTTCACCTACATGAAAAGATAGGCATAACAAAATTCTTCAAAAAAGCGCTCGTTATTGTGAAAAGTGCGCATTCAATAATATAGGTTTCTTTGTATAATAAGAGCGTTCGTTTCTTCATTTGAATTCCAGATTGGTTTTTCTCATACTGTTGATGATAAATTGCGCAGAACGTATTCTATTCGATGATTCAGCCTATCGAGACCCTGTCAATGACCTTTGTTTTTCGCTCTACAAACTATGATTTATAAAAACGTGGCTTAGTGTAACGTGTGAATTGTGACTATGATTCTGCCTGTCTGTCACAAAATCCATACCCCTCCTATGTGGCAAAGAGAACAAGTTACAACTTTCTCCGCAATCTTATGTATTTATTTTTGCTTTGGAAGCATAAGAAGTTGTTTATAGCGAACTGTAGAAGGCAGAAAAGCGCTTTTTAATATAGTATATTTACTTTTTATTAGATTTCAGAAAACTCTGTGGGCCTATCAAAAGAGAAATGAATAATATCAGAATTGAAGATTCTATACCCTTAGGCAAAACGAGCATGTATTAACTAGCAAAATAATGTCGTATTTGGGATTCAGCGCAAAACATAATTTAAGGTTTTAGCATTTCGTTAAATTGAGTTGAGAAAATCAGTATTTGGTACCTGAATAATCTAATCCCTTATTCAGGAATGGCAGCAACAGTGTGCAAAAGAAAATATGTATGTGATGAACCGCTTAATTGTCTCCTATGAAAAGGCAAAAGTTTGATTTCGGAGATCCAAACACCCCAATAAAAAATAAATACAAAAAAGTTTCGTTCAGAAAAAAAT